CGCAACGCCAGCGGTTTCAAGCAGAAGATCAACGCGCTTAAGAACGTTCTCAAGCCGGAGTGGGAGGCCATGGAGGCGGGAGTACCTGTTTCTGAGGTCACACCCAAGAAGGCGGCAACACCACGCAAGCGGAAGGCCAAGACTGACGAGGACGCTGATGACGCCGAAGTCACTCCCAAGAAAGGTCGCGGCCGTCCGAAGAAGAAGAAGGAGCCTACTCCTGAGGTTGAGGAGGACCTGGAGGATGAGACTGTCAAGGAGGAGGTCAAGGACGATGATGACGACGACATCCTGAAAGAGGCTGAGGATATCTGAACATCCATCCCGATCACTGTGGCATTGCAGGCATGGAGAAGAGGCGATTGACTTGAGCGTTCTGTAACGCATCTCAGCGTCTGGCGTTTGGAATAGGTTCACGGCATACATTGAATGCTCCGCTGGTCTTGTTTAGCTGCATAGTCAGCTTTCATAGGGCATATGCATCATAGGCATTTTGAACAAATCAAACCAGTATTGAAACCACGTACCTGCTTGATACGTTCTACCATATTAAATCCCTCACTTACCAAAGCGTTGCAATCTCCCAACCCCGAATGACCCACGTGTGCCAGAACTCACCTTCACCTGGTAGCCACCAATGCCAAGCTCATCCTCACCGTCACAACAGCGCTAATTTCACACATAAACCAGTCTCCCACCTTCCATTTCCTTCCTTTCTACTGCCTCGCACTTCATACCGTCTTCTGTTCACCGCACAGCACAACACCATCAACAAATTTAAGTACAATCCAGCACCGTCCGCAAGCTTTTCCATCATGTCAGGCGCCAACAGCGGCAAGGCCCTCACTGCCTGGACAGATAAGGAGCGTGTATGTCGCTTCCCACCCTCCACACCATACATGCTGACAGAGAATCACAGCTCGTCTACCTCTTCGCACTCATCGAGAAATCCAACGTCACCTTTGACTACAATGTTAGTAACTCCCATCTGGAACCTCCTCTTCTCACCTCTGCGAACTAACACAACAAACAGAACACGCCCCGCCCCGCCGGCCGTTCCGTCATCGCCTGTCAACGCATGATGGGCCGCCTCAAGGATACCCTCAAGAACGAGTTGGAGGCTCTTATGTCGGGTAACCCCATTGAGGAGGATACCCCCAAGAAGACTCCTACTCCGCGCAAGCGCAAGGCGAAGGGCGAGGCTGCTGCTGACGGAGAGGGTGAAGTCACTCCTGCCAAGCGTGGTCGCAAGAAGAAGGTTTCTGAGGATGTCGTCGGTGACGAGGAAGAGGAAGTCACTCCCGTTAAGCCTGAGCCTAAGGAGGAGGATCTTGAGGAAGACATCTGAGTGGACGGTCGGTTGATCCTTGCGAGCTTCGGTTATTGACATCTTGGCGACGTTGATGCAGCGAAGCGATTCGGTCATGCATGTATTCTGGTCAGCACACATGGGCTACACTGATCCTTATGATCATTGGGAAACATGAGACACGGCATGGAAAGACGATCAGCTATTCAAAAAGTTCATGACATTGAGCGAAACAAAGAAAACTTCGATGGGTATCTAAACTATTCTCTCAACAAACTATCAGCCGTGAAACATCGTGATATGGGCGCTCCTTCGTAGAGATAGGCCATGCAAGACTCCACACACCATTCAAGCATATATGCAAAAAGAAGATCGACCTCGCACTCGTTTACCGTGTATAGTCCGGCTTCGTCGCCTTGTTGACAATCGGTGGCGGGCCGTCTGTATCCGGGTACGGTAGAGGCGCACCTGGAGGGGGTCTTGCGAAGTGAGAGCCAGAGGGGGGTGATGTGCGTGCACCAGATAGAGGCGGTGGGTGGAGGCCATCCTGCAAAGGTGTCTTAGGTGGTCTAGGTGGAGCGTTGGACATGCGATCATCCCAGCTAGGCGCAGAGCTCATCCAGGATACTGGACGTCCCGCTGAGAACTGCTCATCCGAACGACGTCCTGGTGACACTAGTTCACCCGAATGTCGAGGGTGAAAGTCGCTGAATCCATCTGTACTCGCCGCTGATTGCGGATATTCGTCTGATGACACAACCAGGAACTTGTCGTTGTCTGATGGCCGGCGCGGTTCTGGCGGAGGGCGGAAGGCGGGATGTATGTTGGTGTAGTATTCTGGCGCGAGCTCCTCGGCCGGTAGTTCGACTGCCATGGGCGCTGGGTCTGGAACCGTAGGAAGGGGCTTGTTTGGTGCTTGAGCGCCTGGCGAGAATGGCGACTCTCCCTTGGCTGCGCGCTCCCATCGCACCTTTGCGAAGTGTATCCTTGCAATCTTCGCAGCCGAGTCAAGCGTCATGCCTTGTACTCCCTTGTCCGCCAGGTACATGCGTGTATTCGTGCTGATTTCCGCGAGCGCATTCCACTCATTCATTCCAAATTCTCCCACGCCGACGTTGACGTTCAAACGGTAGTAGTTCTCGGGGTTGACTTGTCTTTTCGCAAGGTGATCCTTCATCTCCTTGTGTGTCCGTTCGCAATCTTCAATCTTCTGGATCAACTTCCGTCTCGCCTCTGCAAAGTCGCCCATGCCGCCGGAAACGAAGCCTTCCCACCACAGATGCTGTTGTGCGTTTGTGCCTTCTGGCCGCTTTCCGGTGCCTATGCTTATGAAAACGCCAACTTCGCGCCCAGGCCATTCGTTGCAAACAGCTTCGTCGAGAGCCATAGGCGCTGGGTTGTATTTGCCGGAGCCTTCATCGAGGAAGACGGATTGGCCGATCTGGATTGGCTTGAATGCTAGGGCGGTCGCGCAAGTTGCTCGGCCGGCTTGCCATATCGTGGCGTTTGGTTCGATTGGAGGTTCTTTACGGGAATCGTAGGAGCGGAGGAGAACCTGGCCGTTGCCAGACTTCTTGGTGCCCTTGTAGACAGCTGTGATGGCACTGCAGACAGTTAGCGCATTGGCATATCAACGACGTGCGTCCTACTCACGTCTTAGTGCGCTCTTCTCTGTTGTCGTATAGCTGGGCGTGAGGGTTCCCCCACTTCATGGCGGCTATGCGCATATTCACGGGAGTCATGCCAATCTGGCTGTAGTTGCTAGCATTACTAGCGCTTCTTTGCATGCGGCCCGATATTGCGCTCCCGGGGGTCATGGGCGGTGCATCCTGCCCGTTGTGATTGTCGTTGCCCTCGTCGTCGTAGATTGTGTGTTCGCGCACGCATTGCATGATGGCCTCCTCCAGCTTCGACGCCTTGAATAACGTCGATCGATACGGTATGCCGGCAAATGTCTTGTCGGTCTCGAAGACTCTCCTCGTCATGCGCACGTAGACGTCCTTGCAGGTCTCAACGTCCATTCTCAGCCGCCCCAGCATGATAGCGATCAAGCCTCCCGTGCCGGTGCCGACAATGAGATCGAAGTGTTCGCATGGCTTGGGTACTTCGTGCCGTTTTGGGGCTCTGCCTTCGGTTTCGACAAAAGTTCGGTGCATCAATTCCTGGAGGATGATGAGCATGGAGTACCCCCGCACACCGCCGCCGTCTGTCACATGGGTTAGCACCTGCCATACTGAGGCCTTACATCATGTCACAAACATACCTAACGACAGAACGCGCAGCGGCGGCCCCTTGGTCGTATCTTTCCGGCGCACTCCGTTGAGCGCCATTTTCGGTATACGGTATGCGCTGGCTGTGCCGAGGTGTTGTTGATCTTCAGCCTGGTGAGGCGCGTTTGTGTGCATAGAGTCAGGCCTGGGGAAGCGCTGATGCCTGAGGTTATCAAGCTATCTGTTGTCGGTGGGCTGGTTTCGCGGCTGAAAAGTGCTGATCTGGTCGTGATACTAAGCAGCAAAGCGTGGCTGAGTGGATTCCAAGCCTAGGCGCGCGCGCTCGAAAGCGCTCAAGAATGGTTGTTGTTGGGTCGGTGGCCAGGTGAGGTGCGCGAGGCGTAGGGAAGAGTCACAGGAGCGACAGGTGATGGGTAGGGTGGTTCACGTGCGGAGGTTAAGAAGATTCTTGACTCTTGCCAGTCGTGGCCAGCAGCCCAGTTGGTTCACAGCGTCGTCACTCGTCATTCGCCAAGCATGACATGAGCCGAACTGCACCGCCACCTCGGTTCCGCTCCTCAGCCCACTAAAACCTGGTTTACCCTGCTATGGCGACGTTGTCAGCGCCCAAGATCTTCCGCCTCTACCGGTTTTACGATAAAAGATCTTCATGCCCTTGCAGCGGCAGGGCCATGGCCCGCTCTGCTTTCAGGAACTCCCCTCCACTCCCACGACGCGAACCCATGACTGTCCAATCGCCAACTCCTCCGGCCTTGCTTCGGATGGTCACGCTTCCACCAGCGTCGCCTTCTCCGATCGAATAGCCATGCCGAACCCATCCTGATCGAGATGAGCGGAAATGCCTCGTCTCGTCAATATGGATCTTTCCACCCCATCGGCTGCTGAAGAATTTCGCCGACATATCGCAACACCAACTCAGCCCTAAACCTGCTGTGGACTCTAACCACTTTTACGTATATTGGAATCGTACGCAGCCCTGCCCAGGTGTAGTTGGGTTTTGAGTTTGCACGTGATGTTACAGAAGTTAGCTTGCTGATTACGACACCGTACCCATACACGAGCTCTGCGTTATAAGCCGGTATGTTGGTCATAGTCTGGTCGAGTAGATGACACGATTTAGTTTCGGGACTGAACCCAAAGTGAAGGAGATGTGTAGTCGAAGTCAGCCCCAGTGAGTGCAAGAAGTGAATGGCGTGTAGGGGAACATGGAGGTAATGACGCATTCACCCGAAGAGTGCGGGCCTGTTGGGTGAGAGACGAGCTGTATTGCTGTATTGCTGGAGTGTAGGTCAAGGGAAGCACCCCCTTCCAGTTTAGGCGGCGCAGAGCGAACCTTGGAACGACAACCGGCCACTAGTCAACCGAGGGTCTCAAGCACAATTTCTTGTGTCAATTACAGCCCCAACCCTACTGAATTTCCTCATCTCCCGAAAACAAGTCTCAACCACTATCGCACTACGATGGCCAACACCTCGCTTCTTCTGGACTTGCCGGCCGAGCTCCGCAACACGATCTACCAACTTGCTCTCACCCACTCAGAGCCGCTGCATTACCGCATGCCTAAGGATGGTGAAGACAAGCCGTACCTCTACCATCGCGAGGCACCTTTCCAGCAGGGGGATGACGAGAAGCTTGTCGAATACAACCAGCTCAAGTATGTTAACAAGCAGTTGTATGCAGAGACTGCTGGTTTGGAGCTCAAGTTCAACGACGTCACATTGTCTGAGGGTTCGGGACATGAGTCTCCGTCCGACATGCTTACTGCCTGGGTGTCGTCGATATCTATTGCCAAAAGGTCCTGGATCAAGACCATCAGCATCAAATGCGACAAGTATGACCCAAAGTGCTTCGATAGTGAGAGCGCGGAGGCTGTCGCACGCCTCGCACGACTCTGCAACGACATCCCCACTATGAGAGTCAAGTGTTATAACCCTTTTTGGACATACGCCAACCGCCGGCACTACGACGTTGTCTTCTTCTTTATGGCGGCTCTATCCATTTACTATGCATACCGTGGCGAAACCACCAAATACCTTATTTTCGACGAATCCGAACATACTATGTTGAAAGAATCTGGAAAGAAATGGAGAGAGCCATGTAAAGGCCCAAAGGTACACTTGGCGCAACTGCAGGCCGAGAACTTAAGGTACTTCCCCACCTTACCTGCGAACTTCACAGTACCCGTCATCAAGGCAAATCACAGAGTTGCGGAAGATGGCGAGGTTATTCCAGAGGCAGAGCAGTGGATCGGCAACAAGTACTTGAGAGAGTGGATGGAGTATGGTATCTAGAGAGAGAACCGGAGGGTGTCGCATCTAGTCGACAAGGCCTGAATATATTCTCGGTCTCCTGCTGGGACCCGGTATCTCGACGATGATACCTGGCCCTTGGTTTCCATATCCACCTCATACAAGAAAAAATCTGAACAGGTCTGCAGACTACATGACACCAACAACTTGCAAAGTAGGTGATCTAACGTCAACGTAGACTCTAGGGTGTTTAGCTTTTTCCTAGGTTGGCGTGTATCGAAAAAGAGTCACGATACTGAGTCGGTCAAGTGGGGTAGATTGGTGCTACCTCTTTGTCTTAGACAGCATGCTAGAAACAGGCTGAAAAGCCTTGAAGAAATACTACACATCTTCAATGCTCATTCCAAGTTCGCGTCATTGTCTCTAGTGCTCTAACAATCCATCCTTGATACAGTGGATGTGTAGCTGATAACACCATGTAGCTGATAACACCATGTAGCTGATAACATCATGTAGCTGATAACACCATGTACAAGACCAAGAGCTGCCATGCCAGCTCAACCGCGCTACTTCTTCTTCGGTACCTCAACGAGTCCCCTAGTCTCCTTCATCCGCCACTGAATCGCCTTCGCAAGCTGATACAGCACCTCCAACGTCGGCATAGCAACCCCAGCCTCCTTACCCGCTCTCAACGGCTCACCCAGCAGATTCTCAAACTCGATAAAGTTGCCCTATCAACGTTAGCACCTCGTTCTTCCCACGTGAACCACTGGAGTCAGGAACTAAACTCACCTTCTCCACATCCTGCTGCATACTCGGCTTCAAATAGCTCTCCAACGGATCAAGATGAATAGTGGCCTCAACCACATCCTCCGCCAACTCCACACCACAAACCGCCTTCGCAGCCGCAACAATCTCCCGCATAGCCGGTCTAACAAGTCCATCCAACGCCCCATCAGCAAGTCTCAGCCGCCCATCATCCAGTCCCGTGATCGCGCAAATCGGGTTCAGACAAGCGTTAAACACCAGCTTCTTCCATCTGTCATGCAAAACATTAGGCGAGTACTGACAATCCGTCTTCCCTCCTTTCCCATACAACTCCACGAACTCCTCCGCCCGACGCTCCGGCACAGCTGGATTGATGTTGGAAGTGGGAAAAGCGCCGATAAGCAGCTTATCGCCTTCGTCTTGGACAATGTGGCCAGGTGCGGGTTCCGCGCTGCCGATCATGGAGATAGCGGAGAGAATGGGGATGTTGGGATGCGGGCGCAAGAACGGCTTTTCGATGTTGAGGCCATTTTGCAGGAGGATTAGAGTGGTTTTGTTGCTGTTTTTGGGCAGGGCTGGCGTGATCAGGTCGACGGCGGTGGGGGAGACGTCGGCGATGTTTTTGGTGCAGAGGACGACGTAGTCGTATGGTGGGAGGTCTTCTTCGACGAGGTTGGGGATGGTGTTGCGGACTTTGGTGTGTTAGCTTTTTGCAGTTGCGGATCGGCAGGTGAATCGCTGATAAGGTTTGCAACATACCAACGCTCGGTCTCCATTCATCCAATCTTCCATGATCGCAGCTCTCGATTGTGTATCCTTTGTCTTTGACGACGTTGTAGTTGGACCGTAGCACAACGGTTACTGTTGCGAGACCTCCGAATTCGAGGTTGACGGCTGCAATTGCACCAACTGCGCCGCCGCCAACAATGAGGACACTTTTCTTAGTATCAGCCATTGTGTGAGGGCAATCCAGAGGATGATGGAGACTCACACGAGAAGTTGCGTCTAACCCAATCGACAAGATAGGGCGCGACGCGTTAGTGGGGTGGAGGGGTAGCCCCTACTTAGGAATGACTCCGTCAGTAACGATCCGCGCGGCTGTACCTGCTGCATCCAGAAGCCATCACTTGGCACCGATCACGCTGTCACTACCTGCGTTAAGTGGAAATGTTTTGCGGTCCCTTCAATCGAGCTCCATTTGATGCATATGTAGGTTACAGTCCGTAAATTCGTGGCTGGTGACCTTTTGTCGCCAGATCTTCCGCCTCACACGCCTTCATTCTTATCGCACTGATGATTGATGCATTGCTTGAGTCGAAGGTAGAGCCGTCCATTCCATCCGCCCGAAGACTACGCCGAGAGCCCAGCAAAAGAGAGAGAAAGAAGGTACACGCTTAGAAGACGAGAGCGGCACCCTTGGTCTTCTTGTCACCACCGAGCTCGAAGTGCTTGCATCGCTTGAGGGCGAGCTACGAGTATGTTAGCGATTGCGAGGTGGAAGAATGTGAGCGGAGCCTACCTGTGCCTTGGTCTTGCACTGTGTGCACTCTAGACGGAGAACGACCTTCTTGGTGGTCTTCGCTTTCTGCATGGTGTTAGTACTCATCTTTTGAGCTCGAATGCGTGCGATCGTACCTTGTGGAAGACGGGCTTGGTCTGACCTCCGTAACCGGATTGCTTGCGGTCATAACGACGCTTACCCTGCGCGAACAGAGAGGCCTTTCCTGCCTTGTATTCTACACAGTCTCAGTATACGGGTATGCGAGTGTGTGGACGCGGATCACTAACGGGTGACCTTGTGCTGGGTGTGCTTCATGCACTTCTTGCCCTTGCAGTAGGTTCGGCGGGTCTTGGGAACGTTGACCTGGGAAGTCACAGTCAGCATTCAGGCTCAATGCTTTTGAAATTCCCAATTTCCTGTACTGGCGACGAATGCGAAGCGAGCGACCGACGTAAGCGATGGCGAGGGATGTGCGGTGATGCGGAGGTCGCGATTGAGATCATCCTGGTGAGATGTTGCCACCATCAAATGCCAGCATCTACACTGCGCCCGACAGCTGGGTTCAGATGCGGCGCGATACCAAGGGCCCGTGATGGAGTACGTGTTGAGTCGCCGCCTCTTCAACGCCAAGGTCCTCACATGTCCCTTCGCACCAGCAGCCCTCTGTAAGAGACGTTGTACAATCCCAACCCTCTCAGCATCAAGTGTCTTCCGCCACATCTCGGTCTTCTAATGGGGTATCATCGTGTTGAATGTCGCGGGGTCGGAGGATTCGCCTCGCCATCGTCATCGAAGATTCGTGGATTCGTTCGCTCGTCGCACCGGTCGTGGTCCTTCGCAATGTCTCTGGCAACAAGAATGTCACTCACCATTTTGACGGATTTTGCTCTGTGGTTAGTATGAGCGAAAAGTTGGCGGTGTTGCTGGAGGTGTTGTGGCCGCGCTGGGCCGATATTGCTAGCGTTGTGTGGGCTTCGGCTAGGTTAGTAAGCCGAGACCTGCGCCACTCACCAGCCACAGCCAAGATGACGAGGGCACGCACCAGACCATCCCCAAACATATTCACTAGTCATTGAGTGTGTTGAAACGATGAAGTGCAGTCGAAGTAAGAATTGAATTGTGGTATCATGCGTGCCAAATAAAGTGCAGATCCCTAATCATATATCATCCTTGACCCATAAACCCGCGATGGGAAACAAATGAAAGCTGCGAGCGTAACGACTAGTAAATCGGATGTCCCTCCTCCCACTTCTGGACCTCCTTCGTATCCTTGGATGCGGAGAGTGGGCTGCTACCCATGCCAAGACTGAACCTGCCACTCTCGCGCTTCTCAGGGCTCCGTCCGTCGTCGATGCGCTTCACAGGGCCGACCCATTCCCACATGCGAGCAACGTCGCCGCTCGCGGTGGTTCGGACACCTGCACGGATGTTGCTGTTCTTTTCGACCTTCGCCTGCACCCTTGTCCATAACTTCTGTCGGCGAGATGCGTTGAACTCAGTCCTCAAGACGTCATCTCGCAGTTGTGTCATACTGATACCCTTCTCCGCGCCAGGGTCATAGTAGCTCAACGCGGCCTGGTCCTGGAGTCTATCGTATGCGTCGCTTGCGAGTTGCTTCGCGCGAACTTCCATTGCTCGGTTACTGGTGTATGCGTACTTTCCGTACGATCCAGTGGCAATCAGAATGAGCATCGTTACAATTTGGAGAAGATGTCGTTCAAAGGATTCTCGGAGGGATCTTCGGACGCTGCAGGAGAGGGAGAGCTTGGCGAGGGAGGTGGATGCGAGACGTCGTCCGCCTGTTGTTCTGTTTCCAAGGAAGAGTAACTGATTAGTACAATTCCACGTCAGAAATGTTGCACAAGTGGTTGGAGAACTGGAAAGGAGGTACTTACCCATCGGTGCTTTCGACTATCTCCTCTCGCATAGTCAGTTCAGGAAAGGCTCTGTCGAACAGCTCACTGAACTCCTGGTCTGTCAAGCTCTTGCTCTTTTGAGAAGCCATCTGCTGCTTCAGATCTCCTTCGCTGACTTCAGGGCTTTCCACTGGATTCCCTGCCGCATCTGGTTCCCCACACTCATACTGGGCTTTGCGTTGTCGCAGAATCTCCACTGCCTTGTTCGCGATACCATTCACCTTCCGCGTCTTCTCGCTGTCTGGCTCACACGTCGGAGGGAGAGGAACCAGGCCACCGAGTGACAGCGGATGGTCCTTCATAATGAAATCGGGATCGCACCTCAGAGTCAACCCGCGGAAACACTGCGCGTGTGGTGGGCAGGGCTCACACTGCGGGAGGAGCTGGTCTGCCCAGCTCGGTAGCTCCATACCACCAAGTCCAGTAGCATCTCGTCCGATGCCACAAAAGCCAACATCGATCTTTTCCTGTCGCCAGACGCCAGCGAAAGCGGCTGATGCTGTGAGGAGCAGAGTTCCGGCCATTGCTTTGATCGTACCAGTGGCTTTGCCCTTTTGCCTCCGTCTGCGTGGAGGCAGAATGTCGACCTCGCCAGCCTTTGCACGCTCGCGCACTAGTTCAAGTTGCTCTTCTGGAGTGAACTCCTCGCCGGCATCTGCAAGATCGTCTTCCTGATGCTGTGTACGTGGGTCCGCCACATCGAACGTTCCACGTGTAGGTACCATGATGCCCTCGTCCAGTTGTTCAGCCTTGGGTTGGACTGTCCTCCGGCGGTGCGCATCGCTCTTGCGCCGCTCCTGCTGACCAAATCCAGTAGTTCTCCTACGCCGGTCGCGCGATGTGGTATCTGGGACCGCAGGAGAGCTGCCGCTTTGGAACGGGTTTTCCTGGGTGAAGGGGCTGGCAGCATCGTTGCGATGCCACGCTTCCGGCTCAGGCGTGGGCTCTTTAGGCGCGGGAGTGACACTCTTGCGTGTACGCCTAGCTGCAGGCCTCTCATCCACCTCGGGCTCAAGCGCTCTGCTGTGTTTGGCAGGGACAGCGCGCGCGGGTGTCTTGGCGCGTGGTGCCGGCACCTCTGCCTCCTCTGTTGGCTCGCGCGTGGTTCGTCGGGTTGTGCGTCGCGTCTTCGCAGGCGTAGGCGCAATAAGTGTTTCGTCCTCGGCGTCGTCTGTCTCAACCGTACTGGCTGAACTGGAGGGGACGTCTACGATGCCCCGCGTCGATCGCTTCGTGTGTGCCTGCATCCGCTGGACTTTGGACTTCTGAGGGAGGACCAGGTCGACGAACATGCCAACCAGAGCGGGCTTCTTTGCCGAGGACGGATACGTAACGCCATGTCGCAGCAGGATGCTCCTCAGTTCCGGGACCGTTATCTTGCTGGGGTCGACGCCATCTTCATAGTACCAGTACTCTCCGCGCGCGTCAGCCATGTCGATGTGGTGGAGTCCTTTTTTGTCGCGGAATTAAGTTTACGGTTGAGCGGGGCCGGCGACTGAGACAGTTGTAGGGCGGACGTGAGACAGGCGTGGGTTGGCTCGTGTGGTCGCTGTGATGGGCGATAGGCAGACTTGGGAAAGTCTGCGCAGCTTGTTTGTGATGTCACCGAGGCAACTGCGGGCCCGTGCGCTGGCCGCGGCTGCTTTGATCTCATTCACCTCTTTCATCCACTTGCACACGACAAACATCACAGGTACCGATGAAACAAAGAGAATTATGAACGACGAATCATGAACCAGTCGCCTAACCTCCTACGTATGCGAATAAGTCGAATGTTACTACAAAAATAAGACCGTGTGGAGGCTACATCAACAGCTATGAAGACACACCTATCGCGAGTTTACACTCGTCACCCTCAAAGGACAGCATCACCGATGCGAATTACATGGATGAGGTATATGAATGCACGTAACTGCCCATCCACCTGCGTCTTCTCGTGGGTTATTTCGTCTACAAAGTAGACATGATCTAGCAAAAAAAATCCCTTATAGTCCCTCCGCTACCCACTTCCTTATCGCCGCTCTCCATATCGGCGCAAGATCTTCCCCTTTATTGTTGAAGTGAGTTCCTGTGCGTACGGGGACTTCTTCCGATTCTAGGATATCTTCCATGGGGAAGAAGTGCAAATTATCCGCCCGTAAACTCTCATGTAATGGTTGCGACATCCCGCCCTTTATATCAAACATGTTCCATCCTCGTACGATCTCCACCCCTTTTTCTATGACTGGTCTGGTGTTCGGTTCCATAGGCCAGAGTTCGGTCCTTGAGTCACCCAAGAGATGCTCTGATAAGGCAACCCCAAGTGCGATTACCATGAGAGGTTCGACAGGTCCATTAGAGGCTGTCTTCAGCACTTTGGCGCTGAACATTGACCATTTGTGTTCCACGGTAATATATGGCATCTGTCTGCACAGTTTCGCTAGTCGACACATGTTGGCTTGGTTGTCGATCTGTGTGAGGACCTTTTTGCCTGGATTATTCCTTTGCGTCAAGTACTCGTTCACATCAGCGTCGGTATTTTGCAGAGCCACAGTTCGGAGCCATTTGTGTTTCTCTTCTGGAAGTGATGCGAGAAGCGCAAAGAATTGTTCGGTGGCAGTGGTCTTGCCTTCGGCCCGGGTAGAGATCGTGATGGTAGTATTGAACTTCAACTCAAGGTGTGCGCACTCCTGGTGTAGCTGTTTATTGACATACTGTAGCTGATTGAGCTGTTTGTGGCCGGAGGTGTCGTTTGTCGTGTACTTTAGCGTTGCGTCTGGTGTGGTTAGGACGTATTCGTAGATAACGTTCCGGAGCTCGGGAGGAAGAAGGAAGAGGCGGCTCTTGGTCGCTGGTTTTACAGCTTCCGGTTTCGACATAAACGACCAGATGAAATCTGAAAACATGTTCGACCTAATTGGCATGCTTTCCGCGTTGGTAGAAGATTTGGGGAGCAGATTACGTTGGTAGGGGTTGAGTGATTGGTGGATTCGTGAGTATTTGTAGATCAAGAAGAGTTGTGATGTGGTTGTTATGTAGAAGGGAGGAAGCTCTTGTATATGTAGTAGAGGGTTACAGATGGTGAACGCTCGTGAGTGAAACTCGCGATCGATACGATCTGACCCAACAGTGTTGTCAACGTGAGGCCAACCACTTCAACAGAGGCAAAGCGCGATCCAGAGCGTTTCAATTTACGAGAGAGTACTCACTCGATAGTATTGTGGATGAGTTGAATGCAGTGACCTTTTTCACCTAGAGTCTCTAGTGGCTCATGCCTTTAAAGCATCCCACTTCCAACCCCCGAGTGCTCCTCTCCTCTCCAAGCAGAATCTAAACCCACCCATTCTCTACAAAAGTCTGCGCCCGGTACTTAATTTCGACTCGAAGACGTTACTCTAGTTTACCCAGCAGAATTACGGTACAAGCAGACAAGCAGACGAATTTAATAACATGTCCACGGAATCGCCTCTGCTCAAACTCCCAGGTGAATTACGAAACAGTAAGTCGGAGCTCTGGAGTGATTTATCGATCCTACGTCGACGTTGAATGGTGCACTGGTCATGCGCTAACTATGCTATTCCAGAAATATACGAGCTTGTGCTCACTTCACCAAGTCCGCTCTACCTTCACTCGCCGGAAGCACCCCGGCAGGTTGTGCGGCACTCGGAAAATCTCGGTGCACTCGGAACACCGTCTCCTGTCAAGCGCTACGTTGAGTTCAACATGCTCAAGTATGTGAACAGGCAACTTTACTCGGAGACTGCGGGCTTGGACTTCAAGTACAACAGCTTCAAGATTAAGCTTGGGCGTCCGAAGCCTGCACAAGATGGACAAGACACCGAGATCTTGCGAGGGCCGAGAGTTTGTAAGGCGTCTCAGGTTAAATTCGACAGGGGCTATTTGGATGACATTAGCAAGAGCGCATCGTCTCAGGGACAGCGTCTCGAGATCATCTGGCAGCATGCTATAGATCTTTGGGAAGATGCATGGTGGAATCCTGGTTGCTGGGAAGGTCCGGGATATCGAGTAGAGAACGAAGAAAAAAAAATTGAGAATGGTGCGACGCTACCTCGAGAGCCTTCTCAAGTAGAAATGGGTAACCAATGAGGCTTTTCCGAATAGTATAAACCTCCGTTTCCCTCTACAGCTTGCTATCTCGTAGGCGTTTATTACTTGAGGCTTGCAGGGTAAAAAGTTCCGGGGCGCGATTGTAGCTTCGTGTTGCTTTAGTTGCCCTCCCTCTAAAAGCTCTCATACTTCACCATAGCTATCTACCTCTCTACCCCCTGTACAGCCCTCGGAATCACATACGCGGCCCATTTCTCCTTGCTATCCGCCTCTCTCCATACATCCATTCCACCTGCAACTCCATTCTCATCAATTTGCCAATCGCCTCTCTCCACCATACCCGTCCAGCTCTTCAACACATCGACAAGACTATGATCATGCGGCTCCTCAAGCGGCTGATATCCAGGACGATACAAATCTACATGGCTGTCTTCACCATTCTCCCTTTCCCCAAACTTGCTGCCATCAGTCCTCCTTGCATAACCATTTGCTCCAATACCAAAAGGTAAAATCAACCTACATTCGTCCTCGGCTGTCGTCTCCCAATGTGGGAGAAGGTATAGACCCGCAGTATGAGTTTTAATACGGTCGAATCCAGGGAATGGATTGTCTATTTCTTCGCCAGTGACAGTGTTGGGATTGAAGCGAAATAGAAGGATAGGAGGCCGGTCGGAGGTAGACGAGAGATAAGAACCGAATGGCTGATCGGAGAATATGGAGGTAGTTACTTCGAGACCTGGGGCTATGTTTCGGAAGCGTGGGCGTCGTGCCTGTCGGAGGAAATCGTAGGTGAAGTTGTGGGGAAGACTCATGCTTTGAAGTATGCTCTCTTCGACCAGCCCATGTACAACTTGTTCAGCTTCTGCGTGCTCGGCTGTGGAAGGCATCCGAGTTTCGATAGTTTCTACTAGACGATTGAAAGCCTCCACATTCTCTTCCAGCATGGATTTGCTGTACGGGATAAACTCCCAAGGGTCGTAGCGCTCATTGCCAGATTTTTCGTGTATAGCTTTGGGCGCAGCAACGATCTTCCCTTTCCGAATCTGGCCCAGCCAGAACTCCAGAGCGGTTTCCAATGGGTACCACACTTTCTGTTCAAAGACCTCATCTGCGTCATGGATGCTTGGGCTCAAGATACAGAGGTTCGCTTCTTGATCATATCTGTACGACAAGATTAGTACATTCCGGACCAAGACAGTATGCGGCTGTCTGATTCAACTTACACCAGTCCGCACCAGTGACCCGAGAAGTTGTTCATCTCGTAGAGAACCAAAAGATTGCCATCTTCTCCATCGTCTGACCAATCTTCCGCTTGCTCAAACATGAAGTTTGGCGAAGCGAGATTTTGTAGCCAGTAGAAGAAGGATAGATCGACTACACTTTCAGAATAACCAATAAGTCGAGCTTCTTGGAGAAAACGAACAAGATCAGGCGAAAGCTGGGGACGAACAGCCTCGGCATCATCGCCAAAAGTGTCGAACCATGTCTTGCAGGTGGCTTCGAGAGACTCTGGACTGCGACCTGAGCTGACCCAACCGTGGCGCAGTATTTCGTTGTGTAGCGCGATGCATCTTTCGACATTCATGATCAGCAGTTAATATGAGACAGCGAGGGCGGAAGCTCATGGCGCGATTGGGAACGACATCCATCGTAGCGCAGTCTTTGCTGTGCCTCAGTCCATGTGGGGTGTAAGAGGCCACCGTGTGCACGACGGCATGAGACTAACAGACACTAATCCCTGAGCGGCTAGTACCAACCGCGGTGTTATGAAAGGGAGCCCTTCGCGCTGCAAACAACTCTGAAATGCTTTTCAAACGCCAGGTAAAGTCTCGTTGATTCTCCAGCGATGAATCGAAGTGCCTAAGGCTGGTGACATGACTCGCGTTCCATCCAGCCCTCATAGGCGCAGCTCGGAAAATCAACTTCGAAAAGACCACGCCACTTCCTTAGCGTCCTCTCCCCAAGCGGGAAGCCGCATCTCCGCTTACACCTGGATCGCAGCTGCTGCGGTTCTTCTTGCAGCTATCGCCGCGCAGTACTTTCTCGAGCCTCTCAACTTGGTTGAAGTCTGGTACTAGATTGAATCACTCCATGCGACGTCTACAGCTGCTAGGTCATCCGGACCAGTCGTCATATGTTACTCACTAGCTACTAGTAGGAAAGCCTTGGAACTGAATATGGGTGAGAGATCCGAAAGACTGGAAAGCTATTTCGGTGTGGTTGACAGCCTCTTCTTGCGAGACTTCTTGCGGCGATAGGCATCGAGGCGTTGGCGTTCTTCTTCTCGGTCCCCTTGGTAGATCTCGGAAGATGCGGCACGGCAAGTGCGCCCGCGCCGCAACCAATGTCATGCCAAAGGCATCCATTCACATATCTCAAGAAACAG